ACGTCGGGTACAAGTTCAGTCCAACCAGTAAATGCAGTGGTAATGGTTGCAACACTGAAGGACTCATCTTTATCCTAATGGTCTGCAAAGTTGGCTCATGAAGTCCAAAAAGATGTATATTTCCTGTAGTTGGTTTGGATCAAGGCCGGTCTTTATTCTCACCAAAGGTGAAACGCACCAGAGTTGGTTTAGAAGTTGGCCAAGAAGTGGGTCTGGGTATTTGGTCTGCACTGGGATTCACTTGAGTGTTTTCACCCCTGGGAGGAAACCAACTTCGGTCCATTAAAGCAGTGATCCCAAAACTACGGCCCGCGGGCCGAATCCGGCCCGCCTCCACATTTGGTCCGGCCCCCTGAACAATGCCAGAGAGTGTTTAGATTTTTTTTCATATACCGTATTTTCCGGACTATAAGCCGCTACTTTTTTCCTAAGCTTTGAACCTTGCGGCTTATATGTGGAATTTTCTTCAACCAGCAGGGGGCTCTTTAGCAGGAAGTCAATCATTGGAAGTCAAAATTGGAAATAAAAGAAGAAAGCGCCCATTAAAACAGAATTAGGTTTTAATAAGGAATTGAAATTTGAGATTTCAGTTAAATCACATTGAGGGGAAAAAGAAGATTTTTCAGTTTTTTTTTTATAATACTGGGATCATTATGAGAATTTGAGGTATATATATATATTAGGATCCAATAGATGGCAGTAGTGCAACAATAATGGATGCAAGCTGCCGTTGAAATCTAAAGAACAAAAGGAAAAGAAAGTGCCCATTTAGCACATGCTAATAGCAGACACAAAAGATCAGCACTTTTACTGTTATAGTTACCGGTCGAAAACTACCGTAATCAGTTCAGTTAAATCTAAACTTGGCAACTTTTTCCTTTTCAACCGTAATAAATGTGATATTTAATTGACCTGTTATGACTCAAATGTTGGGTGTCCATCCCCCTCTGGAGGACCTGGAGTGGCAGAGATATCTGCGGCTTATAGCCCGGTGCGGCTTATAGTCCGGAAAATACAGTATTTATTTCATAAATAGTGTTATTTCCTGGATTTATTCTTTGAAGAACTCAGAGAGGGTTATTTGATTGTGCTTTCTGGAAAACAATACATTTTTACATTTAGGCACTCTTGCAATCGACACTTTTTCTGTTACAAACTGACTCCGGCCCCCACCAGAGAAGGGAAAAGTTATGTGGCCCTCACAGGAAAAAGTTTGGGGACCCCTGGTTTAAAGTATACCAGATCAGTGTGAAGAGCCAGATTTCTCTGAACTCTCGGGCCGATAAGCGTAATCCAGATTCAGCTTTGGTTCCTCAAACTCATCAGTGATGAGGTTTTTCTGTGTGTGGCAGCTTCAGGAGGAGGTAGATGACCTGGCAGACCGAGTGGAACAGGCCAACAATGCTTTACGGGGAGACTGGTCCCGCTGGAGGACCAGCATGAGAGCTGACCTCAAATCTGCTTTTATCTCCACCGCTGCCAAGAACGTCGATTATTATGAGAAGGTGAGTTTGACTTACTGCCCTTCATCGCTTTATGCTGTTTGTCTTCAGACCTCAAGAACTTTGGCTAGTTGGTTCTTTAGAGCAGCTCTTTTACCTCACAGGTGTTGAAGAAGAATCAGTGGTTTTTAAAGGAAGTAATTGTTAAAATGATGTGCACATTTTGATTGGTAAAACAAGCTGTTTAGCATTCATCTTCTCTAGGTAAACAAGCATTTCTCTTCGAGGTAGTCTGCTGCAGAAAAAAGATTTGTGTGTGTGTGTGTGTGTGTGTGTGTGTGTGTGTGTGTGTTTGTTTGTAATACCTTATGGGGACGATTTTCCTGACATATACTACGTTGTGGGAACCAATTGCTCCTTGTGGGGACCGGAGCCTGGTCCCCACGAGGGGAAACCCTGTTTTTGGGTCAGGGGTCAGATTTAGGGCTAAGGTATGAATTGAGTTTTGGTTAGGGTTAGGGTTAGGTATGTGATGGTTAGGGTTAGGAAAAGGGTAAAGGTAAGGTTTAGGCTGTAGAAATGAATGGAAATCAATGGAAAGTCCCCACAAAGATAGCAACACAAATGTGTGTGTGTGTGTGTGTGTGTTTGTGTGTGTGTGTGTGTGGGTGTGTGTGTGTGTGTGTGTGTGTGTGTGTGTGTGAATTTGGCAACACCTGTTCCCAGCTCGGACAGGGAGGAACTAAACAACAGTACGCCAGACACAGCGGTCAACAGTACAGCATGCAAAATATACAGCAATAAATTAGATGCAGTACTGATCATTTCTTGCTATGTTTTCAGTGACAAAAACTGCTGCAGTGTATTTTAGTCCTGGATTCTCCATCTCTGCCAGCAGAGGGCAGCAGCTCACTTTAATGCTTCCCCCTCAGGTTCAGTTCCTCTCTGCTAAAAAAAACACTAAATGTGATCAGAGGTGACTGTCACTCTGAGCAGCTGAGTTAAAGATGTTTTCCTTTCCAGAGAAATCCTTTGAAAGATAAAATATTGCTAAGTGCAAGCTGAGGTAGATGACTCTTATGTACTTTTTATGAAAATGTATAACTACAAGGTTTCAGACCTGAATGACAGGCTTGATTCCAGCTGTCATTAGGAAGAGTACAGCTGTTTAAAAACACACATTTTATTAATACCTTCAATATTCCAAACATCAGCAGCAATAGCTTGCTGTTTGTTCCTTTCTCACCCTTTAAGATTCTAATATCCATAAAGACACCATGTTGAAGTTCTTCATGAGTGTGTTTAACAGAGTTAAGTGATGTCACCAAGACCTCTTCAGAAAGAGATAATGAGTAGAGAGGACAACTCCATGATCACAAGTGAAGGGTCAACTAATCCAGGCATAAAGGAAGCACTTGGGTGAAGTTTGGTCAAGCAGAATAATAGCCTGAAATATTGTTTGTGCTGACTGAATAGGAAAATCTAAATATGACTTGGCTGAAAAGACTTGATGTTTGAGGATTGACCAGTGAATATCTTACATGCAGCTGGCCAGTCAGAAAGGAGCCGAGACCAAAGCAGAGTAAGAATACTTTTAAGTAACTCTGGAGCCATTCATCTGCCATGTGTTCCTGCAGCACTGCTGTAAAAACCAGATGATTACTGTTTTACAGTCGGTAAACATGTAAATAAATGTACAGTGGAGGAAATAATATTATTTTAATGTAAATGTTACTTAATTTTCTAGATTTCCTTTTTGATAGTCTGCCTCTCACTGTCAAAATATAGCTTTAATGTGTGGTCTGTGAATGATTTAATGTTGTGGACCTGAGAGATATGACCGTGAAGTATCTATTATGAGACTGGCATCTGGAAGGGTTTTTATTCCGTCTAGGTAAGGAGGCAACATAAGAGCCACAGAGAAAAGGGTTCAGAATGTTGGAGTGAGTGAAAAAGAAAAAAAAAACTTCAGTGTTTCTGGTTGTCAAACAAATATTGATAACCATCAAAGATAACATGAGTAAATCCAAAAATCTATTTTCAAATGATGATGTCATATATCCAAACCACCCAGACTCTCCATGTCAAGATCAAGAATCAAAGAGTCCCTTCAACAGTACTTTCCTGACTGCATGAAATGGACTAAAAGATCTCAGAAACCAGCATGTCAATCCCCAATCTGTAGAAAATCACATGGAAAAGAAAGTCTCTGACATTCATCAGTCTGGAAAGGGTTACAAAGAACAACACTGAGAACCTGCAAGTCTCTATCCCTGAATGGCTCATAAAAACTAAAATGAAGATTTTGGAGTGGTCTAATCAAACTCTGGACTTAAATGTGATTGAGATGCTGTAGCATGAAACATTGAACAGGCCTTTCCACTAATTCTCCTATGAATTCTCCAAATTCCTCCTCTATTAGTAAGAGGATGAATTTGCATTGGCTGAAACTTAGTTGCCAAAAATGACTTGCGAAAATATTAGAGAAATGTATTTGTTTAACAAAGACTGTGAAACTGATATAGAGTTTTTTTTTGTTTGTTTGTTTGTTTGTTTTTGTTTTTTTACAGTTTTTGAATTTATTCTAGCACTTCAAAATCAGCCAGTCATGGCTTCAGCTGTGAAATGTAGTTGGCGGTTAAATTCCTCATCACACTGCTGAGTGACAGAGTTGCTAACATACTTGGACATCTGCTCCCAGTGAGGACTTAATTGACCCAACCACATTGCTTTGTTGTTTCTTCCATGATTTTTGAAGAAAATTCTCCTGCATGTCCCGTTTTACCTCATTGGATCTGGAAGAATTTCTAAAAGCTCATCTCTGCTCCATTTTTCTTTATGTTCCAGTAACAAGCAGATGCTCTGATCCCTTAAACCTCTTCACATTTTTTCATGTTCCCACCTCAAACATCAAGGCATTTTATTGTGGTTTTATGGGACAGGCCAATATAAAATCGTACAGAATTTTAAAGTGAAAAGAAGATGATATATTATTTTTTATATTTTGTACATCTCTACACAGCAAATTTGGAAGTGTTCCATCAACTCCTACAGAGTTGAATTCAACACTTTGAAAGTGTCTATATTGGTCCACTCTGGATGTTGTAGAAATTACACTTTTGAAAGTATTATTTGTGATATAGTTGAATCAACACTCACAGTAGTTGAAATTAAACACACATCAGTGTTGATTTACTCAACACTAGTGTATTTTGTCAAAAGTTAACACTATAAATGTGTTAATCTAACACAGAACGGTGTAAAGTATATATTAACATAGAAATTTTAGTTTTGAAATACTACTGGCAGAGTGTGCTGTGGTGGTGCAGGGGTTAAGCACATATGGGGGGGAGCCTCCATATGGGAGGCTCTCGTTTTCAATCCGGCTGTTGTGGGTTCGCTTCCCTTTCTCCCCCTTCTCTCATTACCCACTTTTTTTGTCAATTTACTACCAAATAAAAGCCACTAGATCCTTTAAAACCTTTTTTTTTGCCCCAAAAACTATTGGCCATCAATAATCCCCAAATTCATTTTAAAAGACATGCCACATTAGATGCTACAAAAACACCAGCACCAGTTGCAGTATGTAATCTACTTTTATTTCAAAACATCAAACAGCACTGACAGGAATATACAACAGAGGTCATACATTCATGGTACTTTGCACTGAAGGTGAAGTGTGCTTTGAAAGTTCATTGGAAGCGGTCATGGATGGTCTTGTGATCACTGATGGTGAAGTGTCTTTGGTGCTGCTCTTGTTTTCGCCAACATGAAGGAGGAAGACTTCCAGCCTGGAAGGAAAAACAGGAAATATAGCAGAAACATTAGGATAATAAATAAATATTTAAAAAAAAAGTGTGAACAAAATTAATCAGACTCATCTGTGTGTGTCACCGGCACATTCATTCAAATTACTCTGCCCACCTGGTTTACAAGATAAAGCATAAAAACGTCAGAAATAATAACTAAAAAAATTAGTCAGCTTAGAAAAATTTTTGGACAGCATTAGAAGTCGTGCCAACCTATCTGATGAAATGTGTTGAAGTCATCATAACAGGCTTCAGTCACCAACATGACACACTAACAAAGAAAAAAAATATCTTGGCAGTTTTTAGATGTGCCACAGGTACAAAACACCAGAGTCAAATGGCTTAATTGCCTCCTCATTGTGCAGATACTCCAGAGTCCTGCTAATCACCTAATTATTGTATTCAGATGTGGTGCAGCAGCGGCACATCTAAATGTTGCAGGGCAGTGGCCCTCCAGGACTGGAGTTTGACACCTGTGGCATAGATGACCTATGCCCTAATGACCGGGCCCAAATAATAAAGCTCATGATAATTTAACTTTACAACATTGTTGCTGCGCAAGACCCCCCTCCCCTCTTCTCTCTCTCTCTACTTCCCCTTCTGAGAGGAGGGAGATGTGCTTCCCAGCTCTCTGTCTAACGGGTCCGAGAAGCCTCTAACTCCTGAGTATTACTACAGATGAGAATATAGAGGACATTCTGTTTAAGCTGGGTGCGAGAAAGACTAGCCTGGTTTCTAACGACCTCGCCTCCAGATGTCCCACCCTTTTTCACCCTGTGAACTAGCCAGATCGAGCAGCCCGCAACCAGCTAGCTTCACAGAGCACACTTGTTAACGGTCGCTCTTTCTCTTTATTACAACTTGCACTTGTTACTGAACCAGGTAGGTTTTAGTGGCTCGGGCGAGTCCCCAGGGGGGTGTTTTGGCTAAAAGCAACCTATAAAACATTTTCCACTTTCTCCTCCCAGAATCGTCATAGCTATTTTACAACCATCAAAGAACTTTAAGGTGACTCATTAATTGAATGTCCAAAACATCTTTTAGATTTTCTTAATGCTAATTATTTTATTAGTAAGGCAATTTTGCAAGGGTCAGTACAGCTTAATTCAGTAGCCGAAATAATCAAATAAGTAAAATCAATAATCTAGCGTATCTTTCCCTATTGCTGACACTGTGAACTAAAAAAGGGAAACTTTGAGAGAGACGAACGGAGTTTGGCATCTTGAACCCCAGGAAGAGTACTGACTTAGAGCG